GGTGTGGGTTGCAGGGGGGGTCACACAGTGTCGGGTAGTCTTCGTTCCTCTGGGGTCTCACAGTCTTCGCTCCTCTGGAGTTCCATGGTAGGTGGTTAGCTGTTGTTCTTCCCGGGTTTCTTCCAGGCCCCTCTCGCGGTGGAACCCCGTCTGGCGGCGTCGTTCTCCCGTCTGGCAGCGTCGCTCTCGCTCTTGTGGATTTTTTAAATCTTCTACCGCTTCAATTTGAACTTGCATATGAGTAATTGATGATCTGTTTCACAGTCAGCACCTGGCCTGGTTCTAACTGCTGTTATTACACTTCAACAATTCTTTGCTTAGATGCAGTCAGTCGTTCAGATTCCTGTGCAGTCCATTAGATGAAGATCCATGTCCAAAGATGTCTTTTGTGTTTCTAGAAAGGGTATTTGTTATGAATAAATCACTGAATGCACAAAATTCACTCATTCACTCTCCAGCCTCATTTCTGTCACCAAGTCCATATTTTCCTACTACCATTTCTTCCTCATTGTTTCCAAATGTTGCATTCCAGTCACCAGTAATTATTAATACATCTTGATTGCATGTTTGACCAATTTCAGACTGCTAGAGCTTTGTAGAAATCCTCAATTTTCTCCTCTTTGTCTTACTTGTTGGTTCATGTATTTGAATAATAGTTGTGCTAACGAGTTTTCCTTTTATGTGTATGGATAATATCCTATCACTCACAATAATGTACTTTATGAAAAACTTTAAAATAGTCCTTTCAAGTATAAATGCAACACCGTTTTTTCTGTTTTTCATTCCCAGCATAGTAGATCATATGATTGTCTGATTACTATATTCTAAACTAAAGTAACTCAGTCTTTCCAAGGTGTGAAAAATAAGGTTCATCTTTCAGATGCCCAATTCCTTCTAAACTCCACCACAGTTGCATAGTAATTTACTTCCCTTCACTCGTGAGCCATCTTGTCTTTTCTTCCATGCCCAGGTTCAGGCAGTCTGCAGCACTCCTTAGCTTTTACATGATTGTTGCAATGTCTGGACTAAGATATTCCCCCCCCCTAACATGTAAACAGCAACAACAAAGAAATTCCTCTGGCTCCCTCACACCAAGCTCACATTTAACCCTGAGGTAAGAACTGGTATACCATAAATGTAAAGATGAACATTAAATAAATATTTTAGGGTGCAGAGTAGCTATCTGTGAAAGAAGGGATGGGACACTGCTACTTGCTGAATCTCTGGTAAGCACCAAGGAAGAGTGAGGCTTCCTCAAAAAGGTAGTCTACATAGGTCTAATGCCTTGATGAGGTAGAGCTTGCCCTGGGCCAGCCAATCCCTTTGTAACTACATTTTCCCGTCTCATTGTGCAGATGAGGCATGAGGACCTGTGGAAAAGGGATTGATCACTGGCATGGCTGACCAGGTGGGACAAAAGGCACAAAACAGCACTTTGAATTTGCTCATAATTTTATTAGGATTACCAGAGTATACAACAAAGGAAGCAGAGCCTCTAGGGGAAGGGATGTGACAATAGTAGAAACAAAGTGGCCTATCATCAAAACTGAAGCAGGCTAGTGGTTTCCCACTGGAAATAAGAAGGATGAAATAGGAGGAGCTTGGAAGGACAGAATGACAGAGACCCTCAAAGTTACTGCACACCTGTGATGAAGGTAATATTTGCTCTCCTTGCTTTGAGATAAAGGTTTCTGCTCTATACAACACAGTAGAAGAGGAGGGTGTTGAGTCCAACAGTAACTTGGAGGAGGAAATAGAGGGGTCCTGGAAAATACAAGACAATAAATACATTTAGCATCACAGAGAAACCTATGGGAGAGAGGGCCTGTAAGGAAGGAGTCACTTTTCCCTCCTCCTGAAATAAGAATTCTGAAATTACAAAACCATAAAAATGAACTTTAATCCTATCAGTCACCTCCAGAAGTGCAAGGTAAGGCTATGTGACTGTAGCAGAGGGGAAGGACAAATAAGAAAGGAGAAAGTATGGAAGTTGCAGAGAGACTCCTTCCAGCAAGGGTAAGGTGCTTATCTTGTTTTTCGTCACTTCCAAGGTTTGACCCAAGAGTTTTGGGCCTGAAGCACCTCCCTTATGTCAGTGTCTTCACATCTTGCCTCATTATCCTTATTGTCATCACAATCTTCCCCTTCTTCTTCACTCCCTGCACAATGGAGAACGAAGCAAGGAGGTAATAATGAAAGTGGGCACAAAGCCAGGATTTTTTTTGGCCTATGAACACTTGTCAAGTGCCTCTGTCTGTTTACAGTAAGAAGTAAAAAGTGTGTGCATAAACTCAAAGAATACCGAGTGAGGGGGTGTGAGAGAGAAGTGGAAGACAGGGTGAATTTCTCTGAAAGTAGCTTTTTCTCACTCTGCTCTAACCTTAATAAACCCCTCTTAATACTTTTCTCTAGGTGATTAAAAGTGGCCCTAGTGTCCTCTCCCTTCCTTCTCAAAAAAGAGGAGATACCATAAGGTGGAAGAGGACTCACCTGTTTCTGTATACTATCTGAAAATAGATTGAGTTATCATTTACTCACACATTCATAATGCCTACTTCCTTTGTGCCCTGTCTCTGCTCTCAATGGAAGTTTGCCAGGGAACTCATGCTCCCAAATTCTAGGACTGAGAGCCTTTGTGCCCCTTGCACTTTCTCCAAGTGCCACCTTTCCTCCTTCATATGAATAAAGCCAGGCTCAGAATTCTCCTTGCCTTCTCCTAGCTATCCTTTAGAGTAATTATCTTACTCTTACTCAATCATCTGGTTTAATTGATCCCTTGAAACTGTTTTCACCAATGTCACAAATTGTTTATTTAGCCCCAAATTCAACGGACACATCCAAGTCTGTATTTTGCTTGACCTTTCGACAGCACTGGGCATTGAATGCAAGGTGCCATGACCTGGTTCTCCTATCTGTACTCAAAATCACAGTTTCAGATTCTTCATCTGTAAAATGGGGATAGTAATAGTACCCACCTCATAAGAATTGCTGTGATGATTAACTGAGTTAAAACAAGAAAAACACTTAAACTATTGCTTGCTTCATAGTAAACACTTCATTAATATTAATTAGGTCCTTAACTGTAAAAGTGTTAGTGGCCTTAGAGCTAAGATTTTGTGCTGACTTAGTAATGTTTTCTTTACAATATCCAAGTCTCCACCTCATTTCCAGATAGTAAACTAAACATCTGCCTCTGAGCCACCTGTACCTAGATATACAATAAGACCGTACAACTTTCTTCACATTCTTCTCTCCACCCCATCAAACCTACTACCACACCATTCCTCATCCCAGGAAATGTCACCTTCTTTCACCAATCATTCAAGTATGAACCAACCCGGAAATCACCTTAAACTCACCTTTCCCTCCAAATCACCACATTCAACCTTTCCTAAGCATTTCTCAATGTGCATTTTGAGCAGTGGTTATCAAAGTGGTTCTCAACGGCTTCTGTGGTAAAAGGGAAATAAAAGGAATTCTACAAAGTTAACTAGGTTTCTTAAAGCAGAGCTGCTCAGAATTTTTAAATTTTTTTCTACAAGAGAATATGATCGTGCATAGTATTTCCCCAGAATAATTAACCACTGATCTCATTTTGTGAGATTTAGCTTCCAGAACTAGTGAAAGGTCTTTTTGTACTATTACTTTCACTGTTCTAGGTCCTTTCTTTACATGATCCCTTCTCCCAAAAAATCCTCTATAATGTTCCTCAAATGTGAATGCAGCTTCCAGTTGAAATACCGCCTCCTTTTTCTAGTTCTCTCCTTCCTCATTCTTCAGGTACCTGCTTCCTTCTCTGGGCTCACAAAGTGTACTGTTTACTTAATCTCTACACATTTGCTCTCAAAAAAAAAGCTGGGATATAGCAGAAAGACAGGGCTGAGTAGTGTGTTGAATTGCAGCATGATCACCACTGTTTTTCTTGTGTTTATATATGCTTGCACACATATGCATTTGTATTTGTGAATTGCCCTTTTTTTGTTTTCTACCCACTGTCAACACCCCTTTTCTTACTCTTTATCTGCCTTTTTCTGTCACAAACTGTCTATCCATGCCTGGTACTGAAATGTTTCTTTGGTTTTTCTACCTTTGCAAGTTAAATAAGCCTATCCTTTGTTTAAAAAAGCTGCAGAGAATGCTTTTTATTTGAGTCACAAAAGCAGACTGTGTTGATGCCTTTTTGATATCTTTTCTTTAGGCAGCCTTTTTCTGAGAGGAGAGGAAGGGAGGCAAGAAGGGGGTCACCCTTCTTCATTGCCCTCTTCTTCCTCCTTTGCCTCTTCTCAGATGTCCTCTACCTCATCCTCATTTTGGTAGTTGCTATATCTTGATCCTTGTCAATGTCTTGAATATAATTCTCACTGCCCTCATTGTCACCTTCATTGCCGTCATCATCACTGTCCTTGCTATCATCTTCACTATCATTATTATTTTCATTTTCACTGTACTCAATAGCTCTTTCAATGTCACTATCACTGCTGCTCTGGTTGCTGCTACTGTTGCTTTGGTTGCCATCTTTAGGGCTCTCATCACCACCATTGGAGTTCTTACTTTTATTATCATCAGTATTCTCATCAATGTTGCCTGGACTCTCAGGTTTCTCTCTCTATTGTCATCAGGGTTGTAGTTGTACATTAGGATCTCATTGCTGTAGTTGGTATTCTTCTCATTGCTATTAGTGGTCTTGTTGTCTGGAGTCTCACTTTTACCAGTGTTCTCATTGTCACTGTCGAAGAAACTCTCACTAATGTCAATTATCTCATTATCAGTGGTCTCAAAGTAGTTTGTTGTTTCCAAGAAGTCAGAAATCTTGATGCCATTGTCAGTGGCTGAATCACTGTCTACGGGCTCATTGATAACATCTTTCACTACTTTGACAGTCACCAAAGTTTTCCTGTATCATCATCTCACATTCTTCCTCAGTATTACTGTGGGGAAGCCTTGGGTTGAGTACTGAGTATGGAGTTGGGTGAGTGTGTGTAGATTAGAGAAGACACTGAAAGATGGTAAGTGGAGAGCCATTAGGCTATAAGGGCTCCCAGGGATGCAGCTGGGATAGGGAGCTCTATTTCTATACCTGATTATGTAAACTCAGGCCAATCACATTCTATTTCTGGACCTCATTCTCCCACTTGTAAAACATATTGGACTGGATTATCTCAAAGGCCTCTTTTGGCTCTATAACTTTCTTGTGACACTAGCTTAGTCTGTCATCAAGTTGTGCCAAGAAATCTGGAGGACAGCCACCTGGCAAACTTACTGGAAAAGATCATATTTGTTTCTATTCTAAAGAAAGGTGACTTGGCAGAGTGCAGAAATTATTAAACAATATCATTAAAATCACTTGCAAGCAGGATTCTGCTGAAAATGATAAAAATAGACTGGAAAAGCATATCAACAGAGAACTTCCAGAAGTGCAGGCTGGGTTTAGAAGAGACCGTGGTACTACGGATATTATCGTTAATATGAGATGGATCTTGGCTGAAAGCAGCAAGTACCAGAAGAAAGTCTTATCTGTGTTTCATTGGCCATGCAAAGGCATTTGACTGCATGGATCACAACAAACTGTGGTTAACTCTGAGAAGAAATCCAGATTGTGCTTATGTCAAACCTATACTTGGACCAGGAGACAATAGTCAGAACAAAGCAAGGAACCACTGCATGGTTCAAAATCGGGGAAGGATGTACACCAGGGATCTGTCCTATTTCCATATCTTTTCAATCTATATGCAGGACAGATCATCTGGGAGCCTGGGCTCTATGAGGAAGAACGTGGCATCAAAATTAGAGCAAGATTCATCAACAACCTGCGTTATGCAGATGACACAACCCTGCTTGCTGAAACTGAGGAGGACCTGAAGTGCATGCTGCAGAAGGTTAAGGACTGTAGCCTTAAATATGGATTGAAGCTCAACATCAAGAAAACAAAGATTCTCGCCACTGGGCTTACTGGCAACATCATGATAGATGGTGAAGAGATTGACATTGTTAACAGCTTCAGTTTGCTGGGCTCTACAATCAACACTCTTGGTATCAGCAGCCAGGAAATCAAAAGGGGAATTGCATTGTGAAAATCTGCTCTCAGGGACCTCACCAAAGTACTGAAGAGCAATAATGTCAGCCTAGAGACTAAGATGTTCCTGATCCAGGCCATAGTCTTTGAAATTACTTGCTATGTGTCAGAAAGCTGGACAATGATTATGAATGATAGAAGGAGGATTGATGCCTTTGAGCTGTGGTGCTAGAGAAGAGTATTGAAATATGGACAATCTCCTCCCATGCAATTAACTGCCCTAAAATCTTGCTAGAAGGTCAGCAATGAGTCAGTCCCATATACATATGATTTGGAAGCAGGAGTGGCATCCACGTCCTAAACAACTTGCCTCCGGAAACTCTATGAGGGCCTTTTGTTCATAGGGTCACTATGAGTCATGCTCGACTTGAAGGTAATCAACAACAACAAAAGTTAGGAGAAGCTAGAGAGGGTGAAACAAGGCTGCTCTTTAAAGGTAAAGATCTGCCATACTTTGAGCATGTTGCAAGGAGAGACCAGTCCTTGGAGAGGGACTTAATGCTTGGAAGGGTAGAGGGACAGTGCAAGAGAGGAAGACCCTCAATGAAATGGGGTCACTCAGTGACTGGGTTAATGGGAGCAGGTGTGTCAGAGACATTAGGGTTGGCTCACGATAGAGCAGGGTTCAGAGCTGTTATACATAGGGTCGTTATGTGTTGCAAGCAACTCAATGCACATCAGAACAACAAGAAGCTTAGTATTTGCCCAATTGCTCTAAAACCACCTTTCATAGAGAAGTGGAAGAATATTCCCTGCTCATGGATAGGAAGGCTTAATGTTGTGAAAATGGCAATACT